TAAGCTTAGTAAATATCGTTATTTAAACATATTCGAATTGTCTGTGTCCCTACTCGAAAGGTATATGGCACAAAACCGAGTTTAAAGTGAAAATCAAACGCCTACATGAAACTAGGGACAAAAGATTGCTCACCTCCCTCGGCATTTCCTTTTGGGGTCACTTTAGGCACCATAAATTAACCCAAACATCCTCCCGAAGGAAAGTTATTTATTTCATAGAGGATTGCCCCATGAAGCTGGGCATAAAATAATGATTTTAAAACTTCATAGAAATGAAAGGGTTTAAAATGAGGTGGAAACCATTTTATTTTAAAGCGTTTCGCTACAGATATTTAATGATTTTGAGAGATTGGTATACAAATCGCAATCAATAACAAAAGACATAAAAATTAAATTTAAAACGTAATCAATAGAATATACTCAAAACTTTTCATGCTTGTTCTTGCAAAATCTTCCTATTTCATTAGTAACCAGAATATAACATCGAGAAACTTGACGTTAAAATCCTCTTGTCTTAAATTTACACTGAAAAATGTCGTTACTTTCAATATCAGAATTTTATCTCCTCACAAGAAAGTACACAGGCATACATTTTCAAATAGTTTTTGCCCAAACCATTTCTTTAAAATTTAAGTGTTTTTCTAATTTCCGTCAACAACTTTCCAGTTCAGCTTTTTTTTTTTAATAAATGTTACTTTATAACAAGTTTGCGTAACTTTTGTGACTAATATTTTTCGTCCTAATTTTAGTATATTTTTATAAATTATTTTTTAACCAACCAGAAACTTTTAAATGATGATGCGAACTAACAAGCTCCTCTCAAATTTCATGCATCATAGTTTGAAATAACTTATACAGCCTATATAAATTTTTAAAAGAAACACAACTTTTTTTAAAACGTTATGCCAAGTGATGTGTCTACTGATACGTCCGCGCAACGAGTACTTAAGCAACCAGCAAAGCCTGTTTCTTCACTTCTGTTCATCAATAAGATTAGTCACCTTTCGAGAGACGTCCTCCCGAGACGATTGTTTCACAGAATATTTCAGACGATACTTAAGGGATTGATTTTTTTCTACCCTCTTTCTACATATTTTCTGCATTACGTTAAATATAATCGAACAAATGACAACAGTTTTTTTTTTCTTTTTTGCAGTAGTCATTGTTCATAATAACTTTGAATTTTATTATAATTCGATTGTTCTACAAACGGTGTTTGTATTTTCTTCCTATCAAAGAAACTTTATTGAATGTGTTCAAAAATATGTATATTAAATAATATGTACATTCTCAATGGCGGAAAGACTGGCTTGTATCAATCAACACCTTCAAAACCAAGATAGTAATGTTTCATCACCAACGAGAAGACACTGAATTTTCTCCAGTCCTGATGAACGGTTTTACTGTAACTGAGACTCCTTGTCTTGAACGTCTGTTCAGCCTCGACCCCAAGTGGAACTCGTATATACGATCCATCGTTACAGATGCTAGGAAAATGGCTGGTTCTTTATGCCACTCCTACTACCGTGCGCTCTATCTTTACAAGAGTCAAATCAAACCAAAAATGGAGTCTTACTACCGTATCTGGGCTGAAACTGTCCAATATTCACTTTCCATGCTTGACATAGATCAAAAGCATTTACGCAGCCTTGTGGGCGATGAGTTATTTTCCACTCTACAACTTCTTTCCTACAGACGAAACGTTGCTAGCCTCTTGCTACTCTGTAGCTATTTTCATGGCAAATGTTCACTACATTCCTTAGTTCCGCTAGTTTTGATCTTCACAGCTAAGACCCATCATGCCACGTACACGGGCATGCATTCGCTTCCTATTCCATTGGTAAGGAGGAAGTTTCACTGAGACAGCTTCTTCGCTAGAAATGTTACTTTGTGGAACAGACCCCTGAGAAGATGCTTCCCCGATCACTACGACGTAAACCTCTTCAAATCTAAGGTCAACTGATATCTATCTTACATATTCTCAGAATAAGCACTTATTACTTCCTCCCTTTACGCACTTACAGCGACCTCATTCCGTAACCTTTTACCTTAAGTTGCTCTTAGGCTTTTTATTTGATGAGCAATAGTATTAAAAAAAGATTACTGTCGAAGAAAATGTTAAAGGCTTCATTTGTATTTTTGATATTGTGTAATACGTTTGCTTAACAACCTTGCTTGTGTTGAAAATATTACATGCTAATAAATGTTACCGCTAAATTATTTTTCGTATATATCAAAGTACTTTATCTCTTTAAATTGTAGTTTTCTGGAGTTTGGAGAAAAGTAATCTACATTCTTGAAAGCATAATATCTCATTTTTCATTGTATTGGTGATTCTAAGTAGATGAGGAATTAAGCCGAGGTTTCATGCCTGCTGTAATCTTTCACAACCTTCCTTAACCCTCAGTATATTTGGCCATTTTTGTTGGCAGGAAGCGTCAGAACAATTAACATGGGCGTTAATTGTTGTAATTAACACGCATATAGTAGCACGGGAGAGCAAACGGAATACTACCGCCGTTGAGGCGAAAGAAACAGATAACGAAATTGTTAATATATGGTTCTTTAGTTGTTGTTACAGTAGATGTGTAAATAAGGCGATTTTGAACGAAGGTGAGTATTGGTAAGGCCTGGAGTTGACAGATTTGTCGGGTCGGTTGACCGAGGTCACATTTGAGATGTCGGGAGAAGCCTGGAGTGAAAAAGTAAAGCCGCGAATCTAACCTTATCGATACAGAAGATACGAGTGGAATGTCTGTATGTGAGCACGGTGTTGGTGTTTGGAGGAGAGTGGGTCTCGAGCGGATAAGTGTCGGGTCAGTTGACCGAAGTCACGGTAGTGATGTTGAGAGCACGCCAGTCTCAAGAGATGGCCTGATGGCCACGTTCTGTATCAGTCGTTTATGAGCAGCTTAAACTTATTGTTTTCAAATGTCAATTTTAAATAATTTATTCCGTATACTATAAGTTTTTTTTTAGTGGAATGCATCAATTGATAAATGACAAATTAAATTTAATTAAAATTAAAGTTGGGGTACTGATCATAAACGTACAATAAATTAAACTAAATATATTCACAGGCATAGAGATACGTGAACACTAACGCATAGACATCGAGATAGATAAACACGTTTTACATGTCTGGAAATTTAAAAAAAATAAATATTTATTTTTATAGAATGATTACAATTAATATTAAAATACCAAAATGTGTGTTTTTTTTTTTAATTCCATGCACAGAGATTTTTCAAAATTATGTATTTTAATCAGAGTAGTAAAGGAATCATTTTAGCATCTAAGTATCCAAATAGTATATTTTGTTAACGATTGTAATGAGCCCGACAAACATTGATGACCTAGAGTCTCCACTGACATGTATGTGTGTGTGTGAGAGAGAGAGAGGGAGAGAGAGAGAGAGACCAAACACTCTCTCTTAAAAGTTGGTGTTTACTCCGAGTAGAAAAAAAGGTTACTGCCATACATAGCTAAAACAATTAAATGAGTTTCCGATGAGACAAATGTTGACAAGAAGTCGAGAATAGCAAGTGTGATATAACATTTTTCTAGCGCGATTGTTTCAAAAAGGTTTCTTCACTAAGGAAGATACAAGATTCAATATTAAAATGGCTTTCTTCTATTCATTCAATTAAATATGTCAGTGCTGTAGACTGTTTCAAAATCAGTGTCTTAATAACAAATAAGTGGCCCTTTTTGTATCTATGAAGCGAAACTTTGACCAACTGGTCGTTAAGCCAGTTGATGGTGGCTTACTGTTTAAGTTAACTAAAATCGCTTAGTTAGTTACTAAGCGATTTCAAATTTAGTGCACTCAAACCTCTTCCTTTACCAATCAATATGAAATCTTTATTAAACCTAACATGTTTTGCTGAATATGTCTGAATGCATGGTATCAGGTCGTTATTTTATTTTTCATATCTTCAAGTGGTTGCACAACTCCTGCTCTGTTAGCTGACATTATCTCACAATTGTTGTAGTGCAGACATAAAAAAGTGAAAAGAGAACGTGCATACACACACACATACCTATTGAATTGATGAAAAGTGGTTGTCAATGTTGTCTAGTCTTTTGTGAGAAAAAGCAAATTTTGTTTTTCGATGAATTAAAAAAATTAAACAATAGAAATAATTTTCCTAAAATCTTATGATTCAAATATTTTAATTAAATTTACTGTTGTAGATGTTTTGTCTGAAGGAAATTAGTTCGTGAGCCCAAATCCCCAGAATAAAAAGGTGATGTTTTTAAAAATAAGTTCAAAACCTACGCTCTTTTTATTTTTGTTTTTATATTTATTTTTACCCGACTTTCCAATGCTTTTGTATTACTCTTTTTTCTGGTTAATGAGCAAATAAAAAACGTGTAAAAATGGAAAGAAAATCAGCATTCTTTTCTTAATCAATCATTAATCAAAGTTAAAGTTTTTCGCGCGAAGTCGTGAAAACCCCACCCCTTGACATTTTAAGGAGGTGTCAAAGAAATTTTCTTTTTCAGAGACGTGCCAACTGCTACGCAGCAGGAGTAGAAAAAGAAAATTCCGCGCACTTCTGAGATGTGGGCATGATAGGAAGGCAGGCAGTTTTACTAAGAAAAAAAATGCGTAAAATATCACGTTGCTGTAGTTGTCTTGTAGTACTTGAGATAGAAGGAAGGCGGTCTGTTTTGAGTTGCGATGGATTTACAGTTTTCACGTATTTGGTAGAGAGCCTGTTTACAGAGGGAGGAAAAGCCGGTTACTGGAAGAGCGTCTTCTTGTCCGATATGAGAAGCGATCTGATTGGTCAATTCTAATCGACGAGCCAAAATGGCTGTTGGTAGCTGTACGTGGATGGTGTTGGCTTAAGTCCTCAATTGTTTACAAATTATTTGTTATTTTGTGTTGTATCGGCAATGCTCGTTCTTGTTTATGGAATGAAAACTTCTTTATTACCTTCTGTATTTTTTAAATACTTAAAATCTTCATGGAATGACAAAACAGGGAAGCTATGAAAGTCTTTTCGTGGGTATGTTCTCTTCCAGTACATTCATTTTTTTTTGTAATACACGACGACATTCCTTCGTTAATATTATTATATAATTAGTATTTTTTGTCTCTTTATTCGTCTTTTCTAGTTTCTGCAGCATTTCGGTGGTAAAGCCATTCAAACTAATCTTATACTCAAAGTTTACCACTTATCTCTTGTATTTTTAAGGATAAAAAAACGATAGGTGCCCAATATAATTCTGATTCGATAGGGTTGGCCTGTTGAAATTTTTATTAAAAATTAAAAAAGTATAAATAATTTTTGTATTTGTCAAATTTTATTTGTAGTGATTCGATAAAAGATTTTTAATCGCTGTTTTAGTTTCATCATCTAAATTCTGTCTTTCCACTGTCAAAATCAAAAATGTTTATTTCCATTTTTTTTTGTCTTGTGATAAGCGAAGTGAGCTATTTTAAATTTTTTGAATTCCCTCATTTATATTCAGTTATTGTCGTTCATTCACTTTTTTTGGAAACTATAGCAAAAAAAAGAAAGAAAACAAAACAACTTATGGTAGTGGTAGTGTCTTTTTATTTACTGAGATATTTTTGTTTCAGTGAGATGTATTGAAAAATGTAACCGAACGTTTCATTTGGTAGTGCTTGTGATCGCTGTAAGAACGTTTAGTGGCTGATGTTTTTTTCTTTTTCTTTTTCGTTTGGAAGTTTTCTGTACATTACTCACTAAATTTGTTCATTGTGAAGAGAAAGACGTTTGAAAAGATTTTATACTGTATAGGTACCGCCAATAATGTGCTGAAAAAATTAGATTTAAAAGCCACCTGTTGAATAAGAAATAAGTTTGTTTTGTGTTACGAATATATATTTTACACTTTCTTTACAGCACATTTAATGTCTACACAGATATTCATTTGAGGCGTACAAATAAGGTAGCTGGACTTGACCCCACTCCCCTTATTTTAAAGGACTTGTTTAATTGATTAATTTGACAATATCTGATTTAGTGGGGGCGGGGTGCTACTTGTATACCAACATTAAGAAAATATTGGGACCAAGTTATCTCAGTTTCTGTTCAATGTCTTTTGTTGATAATGCATGGATGTCGTCTGGCTTCTACAAAAGATTATTGCTAAGAACTTATATTCAATCTTTCTCTTTCTTTGATACTGAGAGTATGAAGAGCGAGTGTCACTGTAGTCCATATACGACGTGTCAATTTGATTATCATCGATTGCTGATTGCGCTCAAGTAAAAGCTATGATTAATGATTTTTTTCTTGCCAGACAAGATTTTGGGGGGGGGGGCAAGATGATTGGGCCCACATCCTCCCCCGTCCTTATTTGGCCTTGTGTCGAACTATCCTACCATCGATAATTTTCATTTTTCATTAAGCACAAAAGAATAATTTTCTTTGTCAATCAATAGCACTAATTTTATTTTATTTTCATTTACTAAATTAAAGAATTCTATATCGGGGTAGGCTGTTCTCTTGAACCGTGGGTAGCAGTTTGTCAAGAAAGAACAATTCTGAATTAAGAGCCATGAAGAAAGCCACGAGAAACCACTCCACTATATCTCTCTCAAGAAATAATGGTAATCACGGTTGGCTCTAACTACCCTAACCCCAATTCTGTTTGTGGGTTCTAAAAGGGAGGACTTCAGTGACGCTCTGAGGTCTCACCCACTTTTAACAACATTTCTATTTTTATTTTTTGTTTTATTTTTTCGATAAGTGGTGAATTATTTAATATCGGTATATTTTTATAATTTATATTTATTTTATTTATTTATTTATTTTTGTTAAAAACAGTAAATACATGTTATTTAAGGTCAAATATTTTTTATGTAAATTTGTGTTTTAAAATGTAAAAAAACAACAACAAATACTATTACTTTTTAAATACATTTTTGTACATCCAGTTTCATCAAACCCAAAAACTTGATGTTTTTTTTCTTCTTTTTTTTTCATTAAAGCTAACAATTGAATCACTCACAACACCTAGTACAAGAAAAATATCTCCGGGTTCTGCAGGGAGTTCTGAGACAATGAATAGAGATTACAGAAAACTTTATTTATCCAATACAAAAAGACCAACAAAACACTTGTTGAGACATAACTTCTTTACAAGAAATTCCTTCTTGCAATTACTCATTCCTAATATTAAAAAACAAAAAAAACAAAACAAACTTCATTACAAGTAAAAAAAATTCTCCAATAGCATTTAAAATAATTAACATTATTGTAAAATATTTTTGTTGTAAAATATTTTACAAAAAGAACTTGGTACTTCTTCAGAAATGCACAACCTCCCTTCTGTGATTTTTTTTTTTTTTTTTTCTCCCTATATGGCTTGGAAGTTGATCTACCTCAATAAGTATTTTTTTTCTTTTTTATTATATCAGTTGATTATTAATTATTTTGTATATACTGTTAATGTTTAATATTTTCATTGTGGTGGGGGCATTCTGAAGAAGCACCAAAATTTCCTTTTTTTTTTTTTTTTTCTTTTCTTTTATATAAAGACTCTCAGAAAGGTTGACATTCATTTCCTTTACAAATATTACTCAAATAAAATTTAAAGCATCTTCAGCACCTTGTAACTTTGATTCATAGTCTTATATAAAAATTTGTTAAACTTCAATTGTTTTCATTTGGATTCCTACATAAAAGGCTCATGCTTTAAAGTGTGTTTTGTTTGTTTTAACCAAAATATTTTTGCAGGCAAGTATGAAGATGTTCAGTCAAGATTCCTTGAGATGAATAAAAAGGCTTTGTTTCATGTAATGTGCACATTTCAATTTTTCTTAAACGCAGTAGAAATGCTTTTAGAAAAGTCTTTGAAAAAAAGAGATGGTACAACAGCAAATAAAGCAACATTGCTGCTGGATTAGATTTCTACTTTGAACTTTGTTTCAAGAGATTTACATCATTTGACATAATGTTCCGTTTCAGAAGAACAAAGTGTGTTAATTGTTCAAGTCTCCTGATTTTACAGCTGACATCATAATTGCTGAAACTTATGTAACTTGCAGTTTACTTCAAGACTATTGTGAAAATGTCGACAATGGAATGAAATTGCAGAAGAATATGGTATTAAGGAAAGTTTTGAGTCACAAGCACATTATAATAAAAAAAAACAAAAAAAACATTTAATTGGTCACAAGTCCTCTGATAAAGTTCAAATACCTTCTTTATCTCTCTTGTTGGCCAGAATTTGTCTTTAATTGATAATTAGTTTTCACAGCTATCCAAGTGAAATGAGATTTACAGATTCCTTCAAAATAGAGAATATCTTTTGAGTGCAGTGAAGATTGGGAATCTCTAGTGCAAGGCTTCTATGAAAAAATGGTTGAAGTGGCGGAATTGCCACATTTGGTCAAGAGATCTGCCTCAATTCTGCAATGAGAATCAGATCAGGAATATAAAATAGGGGCGATAATTTTTGTAATCCTGTAGTTGACGCCAGAACTTATGCATTACATAGCAACTCTTCCTTATTACACCAGTGGATGCTGCAAGGGCTGAAGAAAGTTTTTTTCTGAAAGATGGAAGCTTATCTATGTTAGAAATATCTATTGAAAATAAAATATCTCAATCCATCAACTTTGAAGTAGAGAATATATTTGATCTTTCTAAGCCTTGAAAAAGAAAATTCTTTTGTATTTTTTGGCTATAATGTTGAATGCTTTAGCTATAAGTTTAAGAGAACTGGACTATACTTGATAAGGCTAGCATTTGTGCCAACTTCTGCACTTGTATTAATGTTTTCTTTATGAAAGTCATCAACACATCATCTGACATTGATGGTATCCATAACAAGTTCATTTATCTCATTAGTTGTCAAAGAAAGTTGCTGAAAGGAAGAATTAAGTTTTGTATGCTAAGGTGTTAGCCTCAAGGGTATTTCTGAGGAAAAACATGGGTTGCTCCAAACCACAGAAACCTTTTGAGAATAATTTATAATCATAACTAGTAGATACTGTTCCAAGGATAAATGTGAGAATAAAATTAGCTTCTTATAAAGAAATTGAGAGGGGGTTTACTTATTTGTGGATTGAAGTTTAAAATTAGAGATCTAATTTTAGGTATCATCTAAAATTTATAAACTGTTAAGAACCCTTTTTAAAATTTTTATTCTAAAAAGTTTTGGAATTATGAAATTTATAGGTGAAATAATTAATCTGTAAGTTTGAAAAGTAAAAATGGTTGAAAAAAAATGTATATTTGCCACTAAAGTTCAATAAAATGGAATTCCTAACACTTGAACTATGTAACACCTTGTCAAGGCCATGTTGATTGAACTATGGCACTCCCAATTTTTGACAAATTTATGATCATCAATTTTTGGCATAAAAATTAACTGCGGCTGATCATGTGATCATAACCACTCAGATTGCATTTTAGATAGCAATATGAGCCCCCACTTTTTTACATAAAACCCAATTCTCCAACTCCAATTAGATGTGAGACATATGGCATAACCACATGTCTCTCCATCTCAATTTAACTTTTGAAAATCATAGCATTATGAAACCAGTAAAGTTACTCTAAATAATCTTAAAGTCTCCAGTTATATTTTCAACTTCTTTTTCCTATATTAGCTATACTGTTATAATCGTCTCCTTATATTTATAGCAATGCTTGGAAAGAAAGGGTGTAGAGTGTTGTCCATCAATAACCATGGTAGAGAAAATTGAGCAGCAAAAACTGAGCCATTGTTTTGGGCTCATAGCCATAGACCCACAATTCATCACTTGTTATGACCAGTTAAAAAAAAAAATCCAACCTCTCCAAGACCAAAGAATGCACAAATGAGTCAAAGCAATATGAAGATACTGCTAACAATTTTCTTTTAACTACAAGTGTTTATCATGAGTAAGCTTCACCTGGTCAGACAGTAAGCTACTGTGGCATTTGCAGGATGCTGTTTGTCAGAAAAGAACAGAATTGCATGCATCCAGTGAATGGCAACTCCATGACAATACACCTGCCCATTCAGTGAAGCCATTATTGGACAA